TAGCTGTGGATGTCCCTGTTCATCACAGGGGAGCTGCACTAGATGACTTTTAAAGGTCCCTTCAAATTCAAGCAATCCTATGATTCTATGATTCTACCTTGTATAGAGAAATGTGTTAGTCTCCTAAATCCCAGCACCTGATCAGAACAGAATTACATGGGATATGCTAAAGATTAAAAAAAGAAGTGTGAGTTTTTAATATTCATCTCTAGAAAGTGATGGCAAGAATTTCAGGATATTCCTCAGCACTTTAACCCTACAAAATTAGACCAAAATAATTAAAAAATAGGCTGGAGGATGCAAGGACAAACGGTTCTTGTCTAATCTTAAATGCACAGGCATGAAGAGTTTTCCAAGATATATTATTATGTGAACCTGTGGGTTTGAAGGAATCCCTCAGAACAGTGATGCCTAATAAAACATTGTAGTGTGGACAGGATTTGAAATTCACACCAATCAAAAATTGAAAAATTTATTTATATTTATATATGCAGCTGAAAATTAGAAATTTAGATCCACAGAAAAGGTATTTTAAATTTCCAAATAAAAATTCCCAAAATTTTATTTCAGGTTAAATTGGTAAACAAACAATTGTATAAAATTTCTTCATATATGTTTTTCATAGCATTCTATTTCTAATGAGACTTGTGAATATTCCCAACAAATTCAAGAGCATTTACCCTAAATAATATTTTGCTGAAATGTTACACTTACATTCTCTTCTAGATATAAATACTAAACTATAACTTATGTTTTCTTAAAATTCAAAGTGAACAAAATTGCAGTAATGGCTATCACAGTCACAGATGACCTCTGAATTTTTTTCAGCTCAAATAGATAGGAAGGTTAATGATGGTATTTTGGAATTAAATAGTTAATTATTTTTTTTTCCCAGTGATGCTAAGATTTACCAGCAAGATTCAACACCTTCCAAAAGTGAGAAGAAATCTTGTCTTTAACTTAACTGAAAGTTGTGTTAAAGTACGCATAGGAATTAAATGTGAGCAGTTTTACGTACTCAACAACTAACCAATATTCCCATACATTATCTGCTTAGACACAGAACAAAAATGAATTATAGTTATTACAAGATTTTAAAATTTCACATATTATATTAAACTCCATGTGATACTTTTAATTGTTGATTGTTTAAAAAATAAATAAATAAAGCTGTGGATCATTTGAAAAGATGAACAATATTTTGTTAATGAGCACATATTTTAGTTAGCTTTCATGGTAGATCTTGTGTGTGAGTTTTCTAGAACAATAATCATTTTATTCTTTCACATCCTTGCCCAGATATTTTTCATACTTTCATTTTATACTCACAAGAGTCACAAAGGAGAAATAGGCAAAGATATTTTTTTTATTTCAGATGTAAAATTCATACCTCACTTGTGAGTTATGCAAGGAAAATAAGAAGCTTCATTAAGCAGAGCTACAAGATGTCTGTGAATAATGATTTGCTGTTTGGATGTACTTTCCTTTGAAAATTATTACCTCTACACACTAAAGTAATTCTTCCTGCTTGAAAAACTCTGCTTACTACTTCATATTGATGAATAAAAAAGTGAATTTTAAAAATATGTTTCCTAATGAGCCAGAGAATATCTAGTTTCTTTTTTATTTGAAATGTTACACACACTTATTTTCTGTAGCATACACTACAGCAAATTTCAAAAATTTAAAATAAATTTAAAGGAAATTTTCTAAATACTTGAATTTCAGAATAACCTTGTAATGGCTAACTTAGACAACAATAAAAGTTTATATTTTCATTGTTTCATGGAAATATATACCATGAAAAATTCTATTTATCATTCTAACATATTGAACCAGTTTTCTTCCAAGACAATGGAACAAATGCTTTTTTTTTTTTTTTTTTTTCTTTTTTTCTTTACTCATTGTTTCACTGCTAAAAGGCCTGAATTATAGGCAACAAGCATGGCAATATTATGGTGCAAAATAGATTATACTTGCCCACTTAACTCATTCATAAGACAGCAGTTGTTGAGCGGTACTGCAGTGTAGAACATGAAGAATTTACACTGTGCACCAGTCTTGCAATCAGTAATGGTTACTTAATATTTGCCTGGCTAGAACTGCTGTTTTGCAGCCAGTAAACCTGACATAATTATATTATATATAGAAAGAATACAAGCATGTAAACAGTTTATACTCCAAGATGAATGCAAAACAGTACTTATGAAATCTCCATGAAGTCACTAAAGAAAGACTGACTTTGAGCATCAAAGTGAAAGTGAAATGTGGATTTAGAAATATGAAAAAAAAAACCTAATATTTTTATTTTGTGCTACTTCTAACATATCAAAATAATTCCTTCAAGTACCGAAAGGAAGCCTATAAAAAGGAGGAGAGTCAACTCTTTGAAAGGGTAGATAATAGCAGAATTAGGGGAAGTGGTTTTAAGTTAAGGGAGGGGAGATTTAGGTTGGATGTCAGGGAGAAATTCTTTACAGAGAGAGTGGTGAGGTGCTGGAACAGGCTGCCCAGAGAGGTTGTGGGTGTCCTGTCCCTGGAGGTGTTCAATGCCAGGTTGGATGGGTCTTTGGACAGCCTAGTCTAGTATTAAATGGGGAGGTTGGTGGCCCTGCCTGCAGCAGGGTTGGAGCTTGAAGATCCTTGAGGTCTGTTCCAACCCAAGCCATTCTATAATTTTGATAGTTACTTGTATTTTGAAAGCAAATCAAAATATGTAGCCATGAACTGGAATATCAAATGGGAAAGATTAAAAAAAAAATTATTAGTTTCGTAGAGAGAAAGAGGTATTGAACAGGATGAAGTAGTGTTTGATAAAAATGAAAAATTCTTCGTGTATTATTGGTTGGACTCAATGATCTCTGGAGGTCCCTTCCAACCCCTACAATTCTGTGATTCTGTGATTTCTTCTGTAGGGATCAGTAATAAAGGATCATTTTGAAAGAACAGAGAGCTATTGCAGGAACGAAATCTTACAGATTAATCCACACATGTTCAAAATGAGGTTTTGCCAAGTAATCAATACAACAAGCTATTAAATGATTATGTTTCTGATATATTCAAACAAATAGCAGATACAATTCCAGAAACTGTACATTAGCCAACAAACTTTGTAAAGGTTGTTGTGCTTATACACTCAGTGAATTTCAACAATCTGTTGCACTCAGGAGATACTAACATCCAGTCAGAAGTCTATGAATTTTTTAATCTTAATAAGGCATTTGCATTTGGAGCAACTCTGCTGAAAGCCTGATCCCAACTTCAGTTTTTCACTTCCCAAATTTTCACTGGCTGAGAAATAAGTAGAACCATAAACATCAATGTTTGCCTGTCATGGAGTTAACTAGATCAATCTATGCCGGTGACAGAGGGGCAGTAGGCCTGTGGATCCCCCGACCCCAAAAAATGGGAAGGAAAAGGGAAAAGGGAGATGGGAGCCGGGCTCGAGGAAAAAAACCAAAACAGAACAGTGGCAACAATCTAAGGAGGAAAATTTATTTTACTAACTATGATATCAGAACGCAAGATAACACAATATAATAAAATCTAATTGAAACTGAGACTAATAGATCAAATAAAATAGGAGAGAGAGAGAGTTTCCAAGTCCAAGCAAACCTGAAAGCTTGGGATGGCTAGGAAACGCTCTCACACACACACCCTACAGAACAGTAAGAGCGAGCAAGAAACAGGAAGGCCTAGATCCCATGACTTCCATGACATACAGGGACAGGTACTCAGAAATGGAACATTAACACTTTAACTTCTGGTGCACTACATGATGTTACAGTGTGGAATACCGAAACCCAAAAATCACAAAACCATGACATGACATTGCCATATCTGTATTTGTTATATCTCAAATTGGACAGCTTTAAATATTGGGAAAAAGATTTGTTTGTTTGCTTTTTACTGCAGCTTCACACAACAGTAGTAAATCCCATCAACTGAATAGAGTAAATTATAGTAGAAGTGAATAGATTATTTAAATTTCAATCTCTGCTCAGTGTATATCCCAATCTCAACTTCCACGAGATCCAACTGTATCTATATCCAAGTTAAGACTTGAAAGCAATTCAAATAAATCCAAGATATTTTTATGAAAAAGAATCAACATGTAATTGTTACATTTTCTCTTATAATGTCCACCTATCTTTTTGGATATCTGAAGTAGTATAGCTCTCAGCTCACAATCAAACAATGAGGACAGTTCTTTTTTCTTTTTTTTTCCCTACTGCCATATTTAGAGAAATGTACCAGAAAACCATGGAATACAAATCCTGACTGAGGAGTGTTTGGTCTAAAAAGAACGCTGAATGAAGTCAAACACTAACTAATCTAGTTCTTCCCTCAGTATGATTGTAAAAGACAAATTGGAGCCTTCCCATAGTCCTCTGTGGAAGCTACAGTGATAAACCCTTCCACTCTAGGGAGCAAGTATGTAATTCAGTCAGAAGTGGTAGTACCATGAATACGGACTTCCTACCTAACTAGTTTTATAACTTAATATTATAACAGTAAAGGTCTGCAAGACTTTAGTCACTTTATTTTACTCAAAGTACAATGTTATTGAAATCCCACATATGGACAGATGTATCAATTACTGATCTCCAAGATTGCGGGTTCATGGTAGGAAAATCAAGAAGTGGTGGAATTTTCTCAGTTCATCTAGTGTTTGAAGTTATTTTCTTTTACCTACAGAGTGAACATGCTCAGGAGTAAAGCATAGAGTTCTGAAGAAGCTCTAAAGAGAGCACTTATAATGATTTATTTGATCTCAGTAAAATCTTGACCTCCCTTGTGGATAAAACAGACAAATTCCATGTAAGAAACCATTTGTTAAAGATTCCCTGCAGAAAGTGAGCTATATCAAGCATATATGAACTTCATTGTGGTTGTATTTTATTGCTCCTTAGATTATTAAATGTTTAAACTACCGGATCACAGAATCTACATTCTTAATAGTGAAAGAGTGCTAACAGAAATTTTACTAAATATTTCAGCCCTGTTCCAACAATCTCTTGGAAGAAAGTTAATGGTCATAATCCAAGTAAAGCCCGTCTGAGAAAATCCCAAGCTGTGCTTGAAATACCTAATGTGCAGCTAGAGGATGCAGGGATGTATGAATGTAAAGCTGAAAACTCACGTGGAAGGAATGTCTTCAGAGGACAGCTACAAGTGTACAGTAAGTGTAATTGCACACAGTATTAACCAGCAATTCTTTGTTCAAAGATTTTATATGTATGAAGGATGCTAAGGTCCAGTAGAAAATAAATAAATTTCTTCAGAAATAAAATAATTATTGAATTAAGATATATATATCTTTCTTCCCCAGTAATGAATTGAAGTCTGAATTATGAATGAAATTGACTTCTTCAAAAAACTACCTTAATATTTCATTTTTCCTGATTCTTAGGTGTTGTCTTCTTTTTAAGAAATTTTGTTATAATTTGAAAAGTCCATAATTTTTCACAGGAAAATCACAGATTGGAAGGGACATCTAGAGATCACCTACTCCAAACTCCTGCTAAAGCAGATTCCCTACAGTAGGTTGCACGAGAAGGTGTCCAGAGAAGGAGACTCCACAATTGCTCTCAGCTGCCTGCTCCAATGCTCTGTCACTCCCACAGTAAAGAAGTTATTTTGCATATTTGTGTGGAATTTCCTGTATTGTTTATCTCTGTTGCCCTTATGCTGTCACTGGGAACCACTGAAAAGAGCCTGGACCCATCCACTTGACAGTCTCCCATTAGAGACTTATGTAGGTGTTGATAAGACCCCCTCTCAGTCTTCTCTAGGCTGAACAGTCCCAGGTCCCAGTTCCAGACCCCCTTTCAGCCTTTCCTCATAAAGGAGATTCTTGCACAGAGCTTGCAGGCTCTGTGGCCCTCTACTTGATTCTCTAGAAGTTTCTTGTCTTTCTTAGAATCATGAAATTGTAGAATCTTTTGAGTTGGAAGGGATGTTTAAAAGCAATCCAGACCAAATCCCCTGCAATGAGCAGCAATGCCTACAGTTAGATCATGTGCTCAGAGTCCTGTCCAGCGTGGGATGTCTCCAGGGATTGGGCACCCACCACAACTCTCTGGGCAACCTGTGCCAGTGCCTTATCACGCTCACAGTAGAAAATTTCTTCCTAACATCAAACCTAAATCTACCCTTTTTTAATTGAAAGGCATACCCCTTTGTCCTAACAAACAATCTACTTCAAATTATCTAAGTTATCTGTTTAACAGCTATATGAAACACATATTATATTTCTGTTATGTAAAATCTGCAATTATCTTTCAGATTATCTTATACATAATTCAAAACAATATATGAATTAAAGTTTTACCTATCTGCATTAGTAGGAAGCGAGTTCAGAGCAGGTAACAGAGATCTTTCAAGTGGAGAAGACTGACAGCAACCTTCAGCACATAAAACAAGAAATAAAAACTTGTAATAGTTTCCTAAAGTAACATTTCTTGGCCTTGAGATGAAATACTCCCCAGTGAACCTTTCGCATCAGAGCACTCCTGAAAATAACATTAGTGTCTCTACAAACCCTGACATCTCATTCCAAAGGATGTAAGTTGGTTGATAAGAAAGATTTTAGGCACAGAAAGCTTAGCCTTTACAAAGTTCTCAGCCTCTTTTGTTGAGATCTGTTGCATAGGGATATAGAAGGTTTACTCAAAACAGTATTTGCTCATACACCTTTTGTTCAGAACAACAGTCGGCATTAAAAGTTTTACTTAAAAGCTCATTTTCACATCTTATTGCTCCAGAAAACTATGATTGTTTTTTATCTCAGAAATTCAGATGTAGACCATCATTCCTTACCAGAGAGTTCTTGTAAAATTTTAGGAATTTTACAAGAATTCTAGGACCAGTTGTCATATTGTGGTCTCACAATCTGCATGTCTCTCAGGGATCAGGCTGTCTGTTTGAATATTCATTTCATCAATTGCATCCAATCTGGGTGATCACAGAGTGTTTTGGGGAAAGTCCACAGCACTACGTCTGCCTGTCTGGTTGGATTTAGTAACAAACTACTGATTTTTCATTTCTTACCTGGTGCTGCAACACAGATATACCATGACTGCTTGACACAGCTGATACTTCAGATGTTCAGAAAGTGGTATTTCAGTTGCTGACAATTTAAGATTGATGTAGTCCCAGCACTTGGTGGAAATTTAGCTGTAGACATGACAAAGTCATTAAAAATATAATTTTGATAATGCAAGGCATCTTCATATACTTGACTGCAACCTCTTTTTGCGAGATGTGGTTTTTCCCAGGTGATCCACTCATAGTGTCATTTACATGAAATTTTGTTCAAGCTGAATATGATTAATAGATGAGAGCGCAAAAGATACAAATTGAGTGGAGAAATTGAACATTAATCTTTTGAAGTCATGGCTCCTCCATAACTTCTGACTACTTCCATGTTACCAATGGCAACTGCTCCATGCCATTGGTACAGTTCCTGCTTTTTTCTCTCTCTGACCCTGCTGGGTTTGCTTATGTTACCTACTCACTAGTATCAGCAGAGAGTTGTGATGTGAACCAGACCATGGGAACACTTTTCCTTGCTATTTTCCTTTCATCTGAATCAGTTCCCTGGTAATTATACAGAAACTGGCTAAAGAGAGAAAGATAGTACCTTCTCCTATTCACACTTTAGGATACTGTCTGAAGTCATTTTTCTACATAAAATTTTCTCTTAAATATTCTTTCAGCCATTTTCTTTTTAATTATTTGAGAAAGTGGGCTGAATTTTCTGTATCTTTTCTTTCTTTTCTTTTCTTTTCTTTTTTTCTTTTTTTTCTTTTTTTTTTTTTTTTTAACCAGAGGATGTAATAATTGGCCTGTAAGCTTGCTATTTTATCGCCAACATGTTTTTATAAAATATTTTTACATTCACAAATAAAAATATGAAGAAATGCAGCATTAAATAAATCACAGGGTAGACAGTGATTTCAAAATTTTGGCAGCCCTGCTGAAAGATATAGCACAATACCCATGAAGGCCACTGAATAATAAAACACATCCTTCTACTTCTACATTTACCCCACAAATTCTTCACTAAGCAGATAAAAACATCCATTTTTTCCCCAACCAGTAATGTTACATGCAGAAAAAAATAATAAAAATAAAAATAAAAATAAAAATAATAATAATTACTTTCCAAATCTGTTTAAATGCACTTTAGAATTTATATTTTCGAATTCAAATTAACTGTAATTACGGAATGAGGTTTCTTTTGCCTGCATGTATAGCAAAACAACACTTAAATTTTTTTGTTTGAAAGAGAAAATAATACATTCAGTCAGAGGCCATAAATCCAGTTAAATATTTCACATTTTTCTCTTTTAATTATTGACAGTGTTTAGGGACAAGTGTTAAGACATTATGCAGAAAGGCTCTTGCTGATGAGGAAAGAGTGAACCCTGTTTTCTTGTTGCAAAGTAAGAATAACATAGAGAGGAGGATAATCCAAAATGTATGCTATTTGCTTTAATTATGCATTTAGCTCTGTTCCTGTTACATCTACCTATTGCTTTGCCATTTTATTCCGAATTCTCTTGCTTCACTTAAAGGAGAGAAATTCTGAGTCATTATCTTTGCTGATAGAAATTTGACAATTCTGAATCCAAAAGCTATTAAGACTGTTAAAAAAAAAAAAAGAAAAGAAAAAGAAAAAAAAAAAAAAGTAAAAATACTCCATGTAGCAAAAAAAAGATTATTGATACTAACAGATTGTACAATTATGTTTTTCCCATGCCATGACAGTAGAGGCCAGTGGGTGGGAATGGTGGTTTTCTGCCAGGAATACCTCTGCAACCAGGCATGGTGATGCAGTACTTAAGTGTAATCAGGTTCACTCTTTAATTCTTTATGATCTTGTTCATGGTGGCAACATGAAACTGTATATGTTTTGAGTTGTATAGTAGAAGTTCTAGAAAAAGCAAAATAAGGAGAGAAATATAAAGAACATCAGTTCAGTGCCTCTTTGAAATTGCATAATTTTAAGGCACCACCAGCTAACTTGTACAATTTTTTAGGTACTCATTCAGCTCTCACCTTTTCCGAAATCACCTTAGCTTACTCATTTTCAAAGTAAGGAAGTGCTTCGCAGCCTTTGTGCATACTGAAAAACTCCAAAACAGTAGCAGCTTAACAATGTAATTGAATTATGTTCTTAGGACAAACTAGTAGGCAACGAGTCAGCAAGGACTCTCACAGACTGCTCTGAAGCACTACATGGGATCTTTTGATTAACATAAGAATCCAGTGATTAAATGCCGAGGAGCATTTATGAAGTATACCTTGACAATATTGAGAATAAAGAAGGTGGAAGCAGTTGGTTTTTGCCTTGGTGTGGAAGTAAGGCTGTTTTTTTTTTTTGTATTTGTTTTCCCGCAATAAAAGAGGAATGAGAGATTCTTTTTATGACACATGTCCAGTTTCTGACAACTATCTGGTCAGGGACTTTTATGCAGATTGTTCTCTGCTTAGGAATGATAGACACTCCTTTCACTCTCTGTATAATACTTGCAGGAGATGTAAGCTACAAGAAGTTTGTCATCTGTCATGCTTCCTCATACCTTTTCATATCTTTGATTGGTGACCTGTTAAATGATAGATAGATTTAAAGATTTATTTTTAAACTTGGTTCCTCACATTTAAACACATTATCAAATTTCCAACAACTGAAGCAGAGAATCTGTCATGATAGAACTGAATTTCTACTTATTCAAAGTAGAATTTTATATTCCTTTAAAAACGGAGGTCATTACCTATTTATTCTCTACTATTTAAACTATATATATCAAGTATCTTTAAGTTAATTAGTTTGATCTATTACCCTCTTTGTTATAAAAATTGATGCTGCTGCATGAAAACCCACAATGTGTCTTTTAAGCAAATATATTTTTAATGAATACATAAATTCTTCACTGATTCATACAAAGTTTTCTAAATGGTACAATTCTACAAATAGACACTTTATTGATCACTGAACTGAAGATTTGGATCTCTACAAAAATACTCCCTATTTATTACGTGTAATCCAGATATTAGTGATCACATGTATGGCTAACAACAGACTACCTTAAAAATAAATAAATAAAATAAAATAAATTCAATATTGACTTGCTATGCAAATCCTGTTAGTAATGAATGTTGGAAATCTAATGTGGGTTTTGTTCTTAAAAGCATCAAAAACATTTTCTCTCTTGAAATACAAATTAAACTCAAGAAACTCAGAGACTATCATGATTCACATCCCCACTAAAATTTAAATAGTTTAGATCTTGCAATGTTATTAAATATTATACTATGATTACAAAAAAAATGTTCCTAAATCCACTCATAATAAATGCATTAATATGTATTACTCTTATTCAGTCATTTGGACTTGATTAAATCAGGCAGACTTTCAATTCTTGGCTACAATACTGCTCACTGCTTGATGCCATTACGGTATTTCCCTTTAAGTAGTTTCATTTCATTATTTTCATATTTCCTCTTTCGGCTTTGATTGTTTGTTTAATTATGTTTCTCTTTTAGGCATAGACTTTGTAAAAAACATAATTCAAGTTCTTTAACTGCTTAGGTCTTAGCATATCTGCTAGACACCTATTATGCGGTATGCTTTATACATAGCGTGGTATATTTTCCTTGCAGCCTACCCACAGTGGGTGGAGAAACTTAACGATACTGAATTAGATAGTGGGGAACAGCTACGATGGGAATGCAAAGCCACTGGAAAGCCAAGGCCCACGTATCGTTGGCTGAAAAATGGAGCTCCTCTCTGGCCACAGGTACATTAGATGTGGTGTCAACAGTATGCTGCATGTTTCTCTTTTAGTACAGATGAATTTAGCTAAAGTTTTAAAATTTAATTCAGAAATGAGTGTTTTCTTTATTAGTTTCTGAAGTGTAATTATAAAGACAAGTTCTAAACATTTGTTTCTCTGATTCAACTTAACACAGAATTGCAATCATTAGTAATTCTCTGTAGTTCAAAATATATGGGAAGTAAGAACTTCTGAACTATGCCTGTAATTACACTGCCACTGTCCTGTAATGTCTAAGTCCCCAGTACGTTTACTTATTTTTCTTTTTTAGACAGTGATATTAATTGCAAAATTATGTTAGAGGGTAACAACTAAGAGAAGGACTGTCTTTGCTTAAGCATATGCTCCTGCATATCTCTCTCAATAATAGGTTATTTACTGCAAAACATATTTAATTTGTATTCATCAACACATTTGAAAGCTATGTAAGAGGGATAAATATTGCTCTGTTTTCATCAGTTTTTGACTGTTAATTCTCTTTCGAACTCACCATCAACACCATTAAAATGTTCCAAGAACATAAAGTCTTCAATACACTCACTTGATATATATTTTAAGAGTTGATCTAGATAAAATTCTTTTCTTTTTTAAAAGAACACTTAGACCATGGCCTGTCATTTTACTGTTTTCTTTTTTTCACAGTGAATAATCAGCACATCAATGCCACTCACACCTTGGTTGTTTGCTATCTTTTTGTTTCTGTTTCTTTTCTTGCTTGTTTCTTTCTTTTTCTCCTAGCACCTTTTCTTTTTAAAATCTCAAGATATTTAAAGACAGTTTTGTAAATTTATTTCATAGTTTTTTTTCTTCTTTTCTTTCTTTTTTTTTTTTATATAATTAAAAATAAAGATGTTCAATCCTGGTAGAAAATGTCTCAATTGGTAAAAGTATTCACATAATTCACATAAGAATTTATGAATTCAAAGGATATGATACTTTCTTCTCAGTGATTGTTGCTTCCATCTGTGAGCATCAACTAATTATGCAAAGAATGAGATATAACATAAGCAGAGTTTATTTTTGAAGATATGAGGCATTGATAATAACTCTTTATGCTTTATTTTATACTTTTCTGCCTTTTAGAGTGAGCTATCAGTCCTGTTATTGATGTAATATATCTGTACATTTTGGCTTTCTAATTTTCTAAATCATCAGTTGCATTAGACTTTTAATTTCATTTAAAATTAAAGGTTTACAACCAAGGGAATACTTTTTCATAGTTTTCTCTGCAGTTTGACACACCTTTTTAGTAATCTTTAACAAAGCCAACAAATGTAGTAATGAAACCTAGAGATGTTTTATAGCGGTTCAAATTATTCCTCATGTAGTTCCATGAAGTACACATACCCATAAACAGCTATTTATGCCTTTCTCTTACATCTATCATAAGTATTTTCTATTACCATACCTTTCAAACAAGAAATTTGCATCAAATTCTTCCACTCATTCAAACAATCTTTTATGTCTACTTTTGAGAAAAATAGTAGTATGACTGAAACAAAACATTTGATGAGATTTGAAGATCATCATATATGTTCCACTTACACACAACTGACTTCTCACCCCATTAAAGCTACCAGGTTGAACTGCTTTTAAAAATCATGTTACAGTGATAGCACCAATGAAAGAGACAAATAGACAACAGCAAGCATAGGATAATATATTCTTTCAGATGTTCTTGGAGGTTTTCCTGACCTGCATCATCTTTTTATTTTTGTCATCTCTTAGATAGCAAGAACAAAGTAAGCCCAAGGAAATCTGTTGCTGAGTTTTATTTTAGTTCAGCAATGTCTTTTTTTCCCTTTACCTTATTCTTTCTTATTTCATTACAGAGCAGAATTGAGATGGTTAATAGTGTACTGATGATCCGCACTGTGAACATCTCAGATGCTGGAATGTATCAGTGCTTAGCAGAAAATAAGTATGGCACCATCTATGCCAGTGCCGAGCTGAAGATTTTAGGTGAGTATTATCAAAAAAAAACAGACTGCTCCTTTTTCCTGTTTATCCTGTTTAATAATTACATTTGTTCTTGGCATCTTATGATAAAGAACAGCTTCTGTCAGTCCAGGCTTCATAAAGCAGATAAAATTGGCTTCTTTTTTTCTCTTGCTACTTATGTGTGACTGAGCCCTTTATTGCCTGGGAGAGCACATATCCTTCCACTAATTGAGTTTTTTATTTTGTGAATTACAGCCTCAGTTACATTTTGCAAGTATCTAGGTCTATGTCAATTAAAATACAAGGAAAAGAATTTTTAATTCCTCAAATACAAGTGCAAGTAAAGAAAAAGAGGAATATTAGACATATTGCTGATTAAATTTGTATTATTTATATTACTTTTAACAGGGCCATTAATCAAAGGTGATTAAATATGATACTATATTACAGATTTTAAAATTTCTTTTAAATTCACCGAGACTGACTGACTACCGGCAGCATTTCAGCTAGTATCTCACACTAAAGCAAATACACTATGTGATGTTTCTCAGAAAATGAAGGAAAATTTTAATTTTTCACAAGCTCAGAGGGAGTTATTGAAGAAAAACATGAAGCATGCCTTATCAAGACTCCCTAACTTTGTATAAATCAGGATGTGATAACACGCAATAGGACACTGAGACAAGCTTTTGAGAGACTCATTTTCTCTGAGCCACAGTCTGTGGCTGCACTCTTTCCATCACTTTGCAGGGCTCTTTGAGATTCAGTCAGGAAAGAGATCCTTGTTGGTTACAAAGTTTTCTTATTCCGTTGTTTTTTTTTGTTTTTTTTTTTGTTTTTTTGTTTTTTTGTTTTTTACTTTTTTTTTTTGTCCCTATACCTATTTTATCAAGTAGCTGTACACTTTCTTTGGTGTTCTGTAACACAGTACATCATTAGCATGTGTTGCTGCAGTAAAATTGGCCTTCATTTTGTGACTACTGAAATCATGCCCCTGTTAAATTTTAGCCATAATATTGAGTTAAAGTAGCTGCTGTGATTAATTTTCTGGATTCTTAAAGGAAAAATTACAGAATAAATTGCCATATACATATATCTGGTATGAAAATTATAAAAAATAATGGCAATAAATTGCTACATATGTGAGGCAGTGAAGATGTTCTTACATGTGTAGTAGAGATACTTGGGGAGGAAAGAAATTGTTGTCTCTGTTTTTCCAAAATGAGCTTAAAAAAATACAAACAAATGATTTCACAGATAATCATAGAATGATTCATGATGGAAAAGACCTTCAAGCTCATCAAATCCAACCATCCCATTACTAAACCATGTCCCTTAGTACCACATCCATTCTTAAACGTCTCCAGGAATAGAGAGTCCACCGTGACCCTGGACAGCCCATTCTAGTGCCTACAACTTTCCTTTCTTGTGAAATTACAGTAATTACTAACATTTTTATGACACATTTATTATCTTAACAGTGTTGTTATAATCAATGGGACTTCTTGAGAAAGGGTTTAAACATCTCCTGTAAAAAAAAAATTGGTTAAACATCTCCTGTAAAAAAACTCTCACTTTTCAATCCCCATCACTTAGACAAATAAATAAATGAAATGGAAAGCAATGCAATTAGTCTAACAGTAGCATTATTTATAAGAATTAACTCTAGGAAGTTCATTTTAGATTGCTATGGAATTGATATTTCTTTACTTTTTAACTTGTTACTTCTAACAAGCTATCCATGAAATCCAAAAATTTTAGAAAAGGTGTAGCTTTATAACTGTGGCATTCAATTTCTAAAGCTGTTGGATTTAAAAAACAATTTTAATTATCATATTAATGTGGATAACATCTCCATAATTAATAACTTGATTAACTTACAGACCTACCGTCTCGTCTTGAATGTTATTTCAAACACCTTCTACAATTCCATCTAATTGGTGGTACAGCCATTTCAAAACCAAAAATGAAAATTCTATACTCCAAACCAAACTATTAGAATGTAATGGAATGGAAACCTATGATTATTTTCTATAGAGTTAATGTGCTTCTTTCCAACAGCTTCAGCTCCCACTTTCCCACTAAATCAAATGAGGAAAACAATAATTATTACCAAGGGCCAAGAAGTTGTCATTGAGTGCAAGCCACAAGCCTCTCCAAAGCCAACTATCACTTGGAAGAAAGGAGACAAAGCTTTAAGGGAGAGTAAGAGGTCAGAAGCCTGTTCGGTAAACTAAATATTGTCTTTGCATGCTTGATTCTGTGGTTCTAAATGAAAATGCAGACAGTAACAAGAACGAGCATGCATAAGCATGTCTATGACTAGTGTCAAGAAAGAGTATACATAACCATGTCTATGACCAGTGCAAAGAACAAGCGTGTGTAAGCATGGAAATGACGTAATTATTTTGTCAAGATTATGAGGCTCACAGTATTGACTCTATTGTTCCCACAGTATTGAAATGAAAACTTTTCAAATTATTCAGAGATGAAGATGAAAAGATTATTTGGGGTTTTTGTTCCCTTTATTTCCCACTATTAATTTCAAAAATGCTTGTTACACTGTATCTATTATACATTTTGTGTTTGAGAATATTAAAAATATAGACTGAGGATATCAGAACAACATAAAGTAACAAATGTGCTTATTCATTTAAAATGCTTTTAGTAAGGCAGATTGACGGCTTGATCACATTGGAAGTCTAAGAATAGCTTTAAAATAATTCAGAAATGAAAAATATGATTCCATTATAGGATTTAATTGTACAAGTAATTTCTGTACTCAGCAGCATGTCCATCTAACAAAATAGGCTTGATTAAATAAATCCTGTCCATCTCTGTACATTAAACATAGCTTAAGTACCACAGGTTAAATGCTGGCTGTAATTGCACTTTACATGATTGTATGTCTGTGCACTGGAATAGTTTTAACAGCCTGCACGTGGTCTTCACATACACACAGCAATCTTATCTTTCAGAAAATGTATGTGAATGAGCCACTTACAATGACTTGTGTGGCATTAGTCAAAAAGATAAAAGCAAGGCCTTTTTGTTTATTTGTGCAATACTGATGACAGCAGTAGAGCACATCCATTGTTGTTAGCAGCAAAAGTCATTTCATTCAGGTGAAGTTTATTTTTGTCTTATGCCAATTGTTTTCTTCTGAAAAGAAAAAAACAGGTAATCTATTAAGCCGTATTGGCTATTTGGAGAAAAAGAGGGAAGCAACATTGTATGAAACATTTTATTAACAGATCTGTGTTGTATAACACAGATTGACAGGGCGTATTACAGCAATTTTTACAAAGAAGCCAGTATCAAATATTCTGAGATGGATATTTCTTATGCTATTGCTATATAGTTTTCACCACATGAATACTCATTTCCCTGATCTCTGTAAAACTTACTATGTCTTCTTGATTACCACATATAAATCATCTTTTTAGTCCAACACTGGTAAAGCAGTTTGGTAATTACCCCATGCCTGTCCAAATATAGTCCAAGTCTGAAATTAAAATATCATAAAAATAAAGTCTGGAGCTGCAGGTTTGAAACTTGTTTATTTTGGCAGAAGCAGAAACATGAAAAGATAAAACAGGGAGATTAAAAGAGTTGATTGAACTCTTTGAAAGATTTGGTTTGTGATAAATTAATTTTAAACTATCCAGGAAATCCTTTGTATCATTTAGAGCAATCAGCCTATACCTTTTTTTGTCTGTCAGACAGTATCTATTTCAAGGGAAGCCTTTATATATGGTATTCACTAAGCAATAATTGTGGAATCTTTTTGAAGAGGAGATGAGGAAGATTATCATAATTTTGAGAAAGAAAATAAAAGTCTGTGGAGGTAGAATATGTGTTTCCATGTTTGAGGTACTCTAAGTAGGAACCTATTAGAAAGGAATTGTGTTAAACTTTGAATTTTTATTTTTTTTTAAAGATGGAAAATCTGACATATTTTAATGAATATGTCTATGTATGCAAAAAATCAGCTTTCCTCAGATACGGGTAATACAAATTTCAGCAAAAACCATTAGAATTATCATGTGGTGACATTACACAAAAAATTAAAACATAAAAGATTTAAAAATGTCCAAACAAACAAAAACCCACAATCTAACATTCTGATTAAATAATAAGGAAAGCTAAGAAGAAATCAGCCCAATATACTTTTGTCTTCTATAGCTTTTTCCTTCTCTATGAAATGTTTGTGCAAAACATTAAGTATGTTGTGTTTCATTTTTACTAAGTCTGTCTTCCTGGAAAATGAATTTGCCTCAGTTAGGGACATCAGTGACAAAAAATAGTCCCAATACCTCTCTGTACAAAATGGGAAAATCCATTTAACTAGTGGGTCTGCTATAATCTATCCTACTTCTTCCAGTCTGTGCTGCCTTCTCAGGTTCCTCCCATAGAATTGAAATCTGGTTGGAAAACAAAACAAAACAAAACAAAACAAAACAAAACAAACTTCAGATGACATTTTATTTTGTAATGGAGCAGAAGACTGAGCTTGAGCACAATGTCTGGTGATCCCTGCAGTAAGATCTTGGCTTTGGTTCATGGAATTTAATGAAGTTTGAAACTCTGAAATGTTCCAGATTCATATAAAAGGTTAAAGCCTCTCACTCAGCAGGGCAACTGTGGAAAGAGTCATATGAGCACCATCTATTGGCCTGTTTTTACCTGTAAACAAATTATCCAACTCAGGGTCTTCATATTCACAATCTATTTGTGCAAGATTTGCTGTTCTTGGTGATCAGTCATTTATAATACGTGTCGTTTAATGATAACTATCAGTATTCAAAACAAACTTTGTGTGAAACTCAAATCTCTTTCACATCACATTATCTTAATGAGTCATTTAATACATTCAAAGATACATTAATTCATTGTTTGTTTAAGCTGAGATGTGAAAATTAATATTCTATTATTATGTAGGAGTTTCATAGTTTGGTAGACACACTTAAGTTGCATATTTTCATTGGTCACTGGACAACAATTACATTTTTAAAGTATCTTTCCTAACCACATTTCCCTAGGATTTGTTGTTTCATATTCTGATAGAAGGCTGTGTGTCACTTATGGCATTCTGTGATAGTGTATACTCTGGTTATTGATTCAAATGTTGATATTTTTAATCCATATGAATTTTACAAAGATCTTCTGAATCCTTTGGATGATTAGAAGTTCTAATTATATAGAAGAATGGATTGCGTTTGAATCCAAGTCTGAAAAATCAGGTTATTCTTTTATATGTATTAAAATGTTTCTCTGGTACTTTGGTTTAGGTAGTAAACAGGAAGAATTAGACCCTTGTACAAGAGTATGGTTCAAAACAAACTTTTTTTGTGAAGTTTCTAAAACATTTCAGTCAGGCACTTTGTAATCAGTAATCAAACCCTTACTTGGTAGTTCAGTATAAGGTTCTAGGCAAGATCCAGATCCTCGCTATTTAAATCAAAGTGCCAGTTAGAAGCCTGCTTTATAGCATAACCTTCTTTAAAATTACTTATAAAGCTAAAAGAATTCAATAAAAATGGTATCTCATCAAATTACTTTGTGTAGATACTAAGCTTTATAATAGCAGAATAGACTGAAATCTGACATTGATTACACCAGTATAAATCATGAATAATGCTAATAGAAATGATGATGAGATTCTGGACAAATTTATTTAAAATAAATTCATTACATTCCTGGATTCAGACTTCTGTAAACTGCTGGTACTTTCTAATGGTTTGCTTCCGCACAAATTTCTGTGTAGTGCTTAATTCATTTCTGAAATGGTGTTTCATCACCTTCTTCAGTAATCTACATTTCTTGTCTAGACTATCTTCCAGCTGTCCCTCCCATCAGTGTGTATCAGCCGACCAAAATGTTGATCAGTTTGAAAGATTTGATCTATAACAAGTATGGTCATATAGTGAATTAATATAAACTCTTTTTCCTGCAACACACATGATTCTCCATTGAGCACTGCCTCAAATCCGCTTGGCCACAAAATATTTACAGAACATATTTTGAAGGAAAAATGAGGCTAAAACAAAATACATTTCGAGGAGAAGGGAGGGTAATATTCCAAAAGAATTCCAGTTACATCTAACTGTGAAATGTCACTTCACTTTAAACTGAACGATGTGCTCTGTGATGGCAAAAGAAAGTGTATATGTAAAAAGGTTGGAGAATTACTCTGAACTATAATTTTCAGTTTGTCTATTGAACCCGAAAATGCATCGACTTATATATGGCACAAACTTCTCTGCATCTATGTGATACCACACGCAGACACCACAGGATCACAGTCTTCCACTTTTTCATGAAAATGCCACTTCTTTTTTTACCTTTGTTAGTACAATTTTCAAATTTAATCCAGTTCTTATCAGCAGAATATTATGCACTCTGGAAATTTTACTTTGTATCTCCAGCTAAATATGCAAAGAAAAAGTCCATGTAGGAGTTTCAATTGATTTAACAAATAGTTTTTGCCACAGGTTACCAAACAAATTCAGTGGTTATATACATCCAACTCTTCTCCAGTAATGATATTCAGGACAACAGTTCCTGTTATTTCTCAATAATATGGTATTTAAGATGATTCTATTAAATTATTTAGGCTGACTATTTTAGGGAAAAACTGCTGGATTCTAATAAAAAAAAATTGCCTGTATGATTACAGCGCACTGAAGCAAATATTTTAGAACAAGATCCTCTTCCTCAGTAGTTGAGTTGATGTTTGAAGAAACATCCCCGTCTCCTACCAAGGCTCAGTTCAAAGGGGATATAACTGTGTAAAACCAGACTTGAGGTTCTTTTGGGGTGCCCTACAGTTTCCCTCCCTGGCCTTGAACTGCTGTGTCAGCTGAGTGCCAGACTCCCTCTGCAATATCCATCAGGTACATGTGGGTATTTTAAATTTCTTCACGTACAGGAGAAATAGACACTAAAACTTAGGAAGTTGAGTGCCACCTGGCACGACTTGTCATTTCAGTATTTCTGTACAATTGCTTTTCTTTATATTTTATCAGTTAGTGAAGTGCAGGTTTATCCCATAGCTTTGCACAAAAGAAAAAGCTGAATAACCAGGTTCTTTTAAGTTGCTAATTATCAAAAGTTATTTCATCTACTGTGTATCTTAATATCTTCTTACACAACTCAACTAACTATAAGCTAAGTAAACAGTTCAAAAACTAGCTAGCATTTATTTTTTCT